GGTTACACATATTGCCTTTGCCCCACCTGAGTCAGAGCTTCAAGAACGTCCATCCCCCAGATGGTGCACACTGCACACATTAGGTGTGAAGATACCCATCCCCTTCTCTCTCCTCCCATCTGCCCGACGCCCGATGAATGTTACTACTATCTGTGCACTTAAGCATCGGTCAGTTAATACCCATTTGTTGGTCAGTTAATACTGATTTGATGGTGAAAATAAACATGTGGTGTTTATTTTCCATTCTTGTGATACTTCACTTCATAGAATGGGTTCCGGCTCTATCCAAGATTATACAAGAGGTGCTATATCACCATTGTTTCTTGTGGCTGAGTAGAACTCCATGGTATACATATACCACATTTTATTAATCCACTCATGTATTGATGGGCACTTGAGTTGTTTCCACATCTTTGCAGTTGTGGATTGTGCTGTTATAAACATTCTAGTGCAGATGTCTTTTTTATAGAATTTCTTTTGTTCCTTTAGGTAGATGCCCAGTAATGGGATTGCTGGATCACATAGTAGTTCTACTTGTAGCTCTTTGAGGTACCTCCATATCACTTTCCATAGAGGCTATATTAGTTTGCAGTCCCACCAGCAGTGTATGAGTGTTCCTATCTCTCCACATCACGCCAACATTTATTGTTTTGGGACTTTTTGATGAAGGCCGTTCTCACTGGACTTAAGTGATAGTTCATTGTGGTTTTGATTTGCATTTCCCTGATGATTAGAGATGTTGAGCAGTTTTTGTTTGTTGGCCGTTAGTCTATCTTCTTCTGAAAAGTTTCTGTTCTTGTCCTTTGCCCACTTTTTGATAGGGATGCTTGATTTTTTTCTTGGTGATTTTCCTGATTTCTATATAGACTGTAGTTATCAGCCTGTCATTGGATGTATAGCATGTGAATATTTTCTCTCATTCTGTAGGTTGTCTGTTTGCTCTTGTGATAGTTTCCTTGGTGGTGTGGAAGCTTTTTAATTTGATTAGGTCCCATTTATTTATTTTTGTTGTTGCTGTGATTGCCTTTGGGGCCTTCGTCATAAATTCTTTCACTAGGTCAATGTCTATAAGAGTTTTCCCAACATTTTCTTCTAGAATTCTTATCTTTTTATGTCTTAGGTTTAAGTCTGTTACCCAGCGTAAGTTGATTTTTGTGAGAGGTAAAAGGTGAGGATCCTGTTTCAGTCTTCTACATGTGGCTATCCAGTTTTCCCAGCACCATTTATTGAATGAGGATTCTTTTCCCCAGTGTATGTTTTTCTTTGCTTTGTCAAAGATCAGATGGCTGTATGAGGATGGTTTTATATCTGGGTTCTCAGTTCTGTTCCATCAGCGTATGTCTTTGTTCTTGTGCCAGTACCATGTTGTTTTAGTTACTATAGCCTTATAGTATAGCTTGGAGTCTGGTAAATTGAA